CAGGCCAGAATCAGGCTGGAGATGACGAGGTGGATCCAATCAGGGAGGATGAGGCCCACTTCTAGTAGCTGATCTGGAGGTGTGAATTCCAAGAGAGGAGAAGCTGCTTTTGTAGTTAGCTAGCCTATTGAAGATCTTGCATTCTGCAAACTACGATACCCACATGAGGAAGTGAGGAGACAGATTGACAGAGCCAGACGTGTACCCAGAAGCCTCCTGCTACGGGACAAGCCCAAGAAAGAAACCAACAGAACACCACTGGCCATCACCTACAGTCCACAGCTAAAATCTCTCCAACGCATCATTAGTGATCTACAACCCATCCTGGACAATGATCCCTCACTTTCACAGGCCTTGGGAGGCAGGCCAGTCCTTGCTCACAGACAACCCGCCAACCTGAAGCATATTCTCACCAGCAACTACACACCACACCATAATAACTCTAACTCAGGAACCAATCCATGCAACAAACCTCGGTGCCAACTCTGCCCACACATATACACCAGCAACTCCATCACAGGACCTAACCAGATCAGCCATACTGTCACTGGTACATTCTCCTGCACATCTACTAACGTAATATATGCCATCACGTGCCAACAATGCCCCACTGCTATATACATCGGCCAAACTGGACAGTCCCTATGTAAAAGAATCAATGGACTCAAATCAGATATTAGGAATGGCAACATACAAAAACCTGTAGGGGAACACTTCAATCTCCCTGTACACATAATTGCAGATCTAAAGGTAGCCATCCTGCAGCAAAAAAACTTCAGGACCAGACTTCAAAGGGAAACTGCTGAGCTACAGTTCATCTTCAAGTTTGACACAATCAACTCAGGTTTAAACAAAGACTGTGAATGGCTCGCTAACTACAAAAGCAGCTTCTCCTCTCTTGGAATTCACACCTCCAGATCAGCTACTAGAAGTGGGTCTCATCCTCCCTGATTGGATCCACCTCATCATCTCCAGCCTGATTCTTGCCTGCATATTTATACCTGCCTCTGGAAATTTCCACTACATGCATCTGACGAAGTGGGTCTTTGCCCACAAAAGCTTATGCTCCAACACTTTGGTTAGTCTATAAGGTGCCACAGGACTCCTTGCCTCTTTTCCTCATAAGTCATATGCTCCAGTCCCCTAATCTTGTAGTAGGTTTCTAACTGGGATGATTGCACTCAGAATGACAACGGTATATGCCACACTTTCATATTATGAGCTGGGTGAAATCTTAGTTTAGGTTGACTTAAAACCTCCTGGGAGATTGGTAGACATGGACTTACCTTTCAATTAATACAAATTTAAGTATGTCTATTGGTTGAATATTGTTTGGGGCAGGGCAGGAGTGAGAGATGACCTGCAAATTGCATCCACATAAGAACAGAATGAGAGGCGGAAACAACCTGAATAAACAGTTGAAAGCTTTCTCTGGCTGGCCCAGAAAGAATCCTGAGAAGAGGTTTCTGCGTGCAAGGTGCAGGTTCACAGGGTGCTCTTGGCATTCTGAACAAAAGACCCTGTGTCCTGCTCTCTGATTCTTTCTGTATTCAGAAATATAGGACTTTGTACATTCTTTGTACACAAACAAAAACTGTATCAAAGGAAACACAGGTTGGACCCCACTGGTCCGGTACCCTCAAGACCTGACTGGTCCAGACAAAGGAGTTTACTGGAGCAGGGGAGGAAAAGGCCTCCATACTATGTGGGGAGGGTGCTGGGCTCTGGGAGGAGGGTGCCGGTCTCCCCAGTAGGCTCCCCTCCCCAGCCACCAGGCTCCAGTAGTTCTGAGGGCCCTACTGTCCAGCCAGCTCTGCTGCCCTGCCAGCCCCATGAATTCTGCTGTCCCGCAGGCTCTGCTGCTCTGCTGGCCCCATCCACAACCTCTGTTGCTAAGGCTGACTTGTCCAGGGGTTCTCTGGTCTAGCAACATCTGTAGTCCTGCCAGACCATGGATATTGCTGGACCAGAGAGTTCCAGACCAGAGAGGTTCAACCTGCACTAGACCCCATCAATTCTACTCCCAACTGGAACATCCCCAGGGCCTTGATTATGACTAGCTTCTCAGGTTGAAAGTGGCAACAATATTACACAAAACCAAGTCTGACTATGAAAAGGGACATTTGAAACTGGCTTCACAGAGCCCGATATACAGTTCATTGAAATCAGCTGAGTCTGCCCATTGGTTACAGTGGCTTTGGGTCAGCCTCCAGAGGAGCTGAGATTCTAAATGGAAGCCAACACATGCACTATATACCTTCTACACACTATTACTTATTAATTACAGATCATAGGTATTATTTTAATTGTATTTTTACAAGAATTATTATCAGACTGACTGCTGGAAAGAAAATGATCTTTACTTAGTCACAAGAGATACAGCCTCATAAATTACAGCTCAAGGCATCTTGTACAGCATTACCAATATGCCACCAAGTCTTCTCTCTAGCAATGAAAGGATGGTAAAACAGTGATGGGCAACCTAAGCTAGTGAGTGGGCCACATGAGTGGCCCTCCTTCATCTCAGTGGGCTGCAAAACTGTTGTACCCAAGACGATCTCCCGAGATAGGGCAGTTTTGCTAACTGCGCGTGCATACCTAGAACTGGCGGGGAATGCCATTTGAACTATAGCAGATCTGTGTTTGGATGCAGAGAGAGCCAAAGGCACTGACAGTCAATGTTGTGTACAATCAACATGCACCTCACTTTCTGTGCCCTTGCTTTACATATGTTTCACCGTAGTAAGACTGGTAGGAAAACAACACCAACAGATATCTCGTGTGTAACACATAGAACACCAATGGGTCGCATGTGGCCCTACGGCCACAGATCGTCCACCACAGTAGTACAGTCACTCTGCCTCATCAACCCTGAAACTTCCAGCAAAGGAGCCACACCTGATGGCAGCAATTTTGAGTCCTGTCTATTACAGACAGGAATAAGTCCATCAGCTCATTTCATTTAGACAAGCCAATAATGTCTTCAGTGGTTCTGCTGATTTGGGTGAAATTGAAATCCATAATCTATGGGTGCAAAGACCCATTCTCTACTAATTTTGAAGGTGCGTATATTTTTCCCCCATTGGGTACATTTTTTTCTGTCCTTTAAGTCCTAGATATTTTATTAATTATAAGAAACTTTTCCTGTTAATTAAGAGGTTCAGTTAGAACAGCCCACAATGTTGTGGCTAAATTAATTCATTAGCGCCTTTAAAAAAATAAAAACACTAACAACCAAAATGTGACCCTCTTGGAGCTGTAGTTGATGCTGCTGTTCCACACCAACTACCATAAAATGTAACTAATTAGGTGAAAAGGAAAGAGCACATCCATTACATAGAAATCAGCCTGTCAGGTTAGCAGTGGGAGTGGGGGAGCACAGTATCAGAGCCAAGATGAATGTCCCCGCTCATTAAGAGAAAGGACTGGTAGAGATGGGAAGGGAGACTTCTGACAACACAGATCGGAATTCTAAGCAATTGTTACTTAATCATATTGGCACGTGAGCCACTGCTGTGCACCAGCATTCTGTAAATGCTATTTTTTCTAAGGCAGGCAGAAGGGAAGTGTAACCAGTAACCTGTGTTTCACTCCATCAGCTCCCTGACAGCCCCGCTTTGGGAAGTTAATCTTTTTTCATTTCGTCTGTCATCTAGTGCTATTCGCATACTCTACAGTAAGTAGGCTTCTAATGAATCTATTTTTGTTTAAGTGACTGCAGCCTCATTTGAAGCCCCACAATGGAAAGTTTCTTTTAGCTCTGTCTTGCCTGGTGGGGTTGTTAGGATTGGCTGACAGCCTGGTGAATCACAGCTGCCTCCATTCGGTTATAAAGTCAAGGTTTTTTTTTAGCGTCAAAAATTATACAATCATGGAACTGGAAGGGACCTTGAGAGGTCATTAAGTCCAGTCCCCTGCCCTCACAGCAGGACCAAGCACCAGCTAGACCATCCCTGACAGGTATTTGTCTTACCTACTCTTAAATATCTCCAGTGATGGAGATTCCACAACCTCCCTTGGCAATTTATTCCAGTTAGGAATAAATTGACAGTTAAAAAGTTTTTCCTAATGTCCAACCTAAACCTCCCTTGCTGCAATTTAAGTCCATTGCTTCTTGTCTTGTCATCAGAGGTCAAGGAGAACAATTTTTCTCCCTCCTCTGCGTAACACCCTTTTAAGGTATCTGAAGACTGTTCATGTCCCCTCTGAGTCTTCTCTTTTTCAAACTAAACAAACCCAATTCTTTCAGTCTTCCCTCATAAGTCATGTTATGTTCCTGTTAATATACAGACAAAGTGGATTTTCATGATACTTTACTAAACTGGATTGAGCTGTCTTCTGCCATGGAAACATAACAGTGCCATGGAAGAGAAAAACTGCATGTGAAATCCTGGACTCTAGCAAGGTGAAGCCCTATTTTTGGTTCGTGTTTATAGACTGCCCTAACAAATATGATTAATAAGCTAATATGATCCTGGGATACATAAAGAGGAGAATAAAGTTGGAGTAGATCACTATTTTACCTTTTTATATGGCACTAGTGTGACAGTTACTGAAAACTCAGTATCCACTTGGGGAGCCCCAATCAAGAAGGCTGTTGGAAAATTGGAGCGGGTTCAGAGAAGAGCCCTGAGATGGAATAAAGGTTTAAAAACCACGCCTTATAGCGATAGACACAAACAGCTTAATCTGTTTAGCTTAACAAAGGGAATTTTAAAGGGTGATTTGATGGCAGTCTCTAAATATGTACATATTGAACAAATATTTAATAACTAGCACATTTATCTGGCATTGCTAAGATCTTTAAGGAGGTGCTCAGTGTAGGGGTCTGAGGGTGTGGGGTGTGCAGGCATCATGATTTGGGGGCTGAGGAGGCACTCTGAGCAGGGGACTGTGTATGTGTGCATATGAGCCGCTTGCTCTTATCCTTCCTGTCTTTCCCCTCACCCTCTGAAGAAGGGGAACAATCAGCAATGTCCCAATGCACATTTTTAGGGGGGGAGTTCAGCCCCTGCCTTCCCTAAAAGGTGCCTGGGGGTGGGTGGCTCCATGTTGGGTTCAGTTCCAGATTGGGGGGTGTCCCTCCAGCCAGCCCATTTCACCTGCCCAGTGATTCTGTTTCTTTTCTATATAGTTTCCTGAGAAGCAATCCCACTCCAAGAACATCCCATTTTCCTGGCATAACCAAATTCTTACCTTACTTCAAGTTATGATAAAAAGAAACTATATACCAAACTTGTGGTTCTAGCTCTTACCATTTAGGAGTTCTTGAACAAACAGACAAACAGACAAACTCAAATATATAGTAGATGGGCTCTTCAGTCTAGCAGAAAATGTTTTCACCTGATCCAATGCTTGAAGTTGAAGCTAAATAAATTCAGAATGGAAACAAGAAGTAAATTTTTAGCAGTGAGAGTAAAGAGAAGAAAAATTTCCTCGAACATTTTTGACTAAATTTTGAAAAATTGAAAAAATGTCAGCCATTCATTAGAACTTTTGTGAATGCAGATTGACTTGAGCACAGTTACAAAGAATTTGTTTTAAGAACTACTAGAACATTTTGAATAGTGATAGAGATGTAGCCGTGTTAGTCTGGGGTAGCTGAAGCAAAATGCAGGACAATGTAGCACTTTAAAGACTAACAAGATGGTTTATTAGATGATGAGCTTTTGTGGGCCAGACCCACTTCCTCAGATCAAATAGTGGAAGAAAGTAGTCACAACCATATATACCAAAGGATACAATTAAAAAAAAGGAACAAATATGAAAAGGACAAATCACATTGCAGAACAGAAGGAGGAGGCGGGGGGGTGGGAAGGGGGAGGAAGGAAGGTAAGTGTCTGTGAATTGCTGATATTAAAGGTAGGGAGAGTGGGATGTTTGTGAGTTAATGGTATTACAGGTGATAATTGGGGAAACTGTCTTGATAATGGGTGAGAAAGTTCAAAGACTTGTTAAGTCCCTGGTGGTAAGTGTCGAATTTTAACATGAATGACAGTTCAGAGGATTCCCTTTCAAGTGCAGATGTAAAAGGTCTTTGTAGCAGAATGCAGGTGGCTAAGTCATTTAGAGAGTGTCCTTTCTGGTTAAAGTGGCAAGAAACTGTTTTCTCTTTGTGATCTTGTCTGATATCTGTTTTGTGGGCATTAATCCTTTGGCGAAGTGTCTGAGATGTTTGTCCAATGTACATAGCAGACGGACACTTTCGGCACATGATAGCATAGATTATATTTCTGGATGCGCAGGAATATGTGTTCTTGATCTTATAACTCACTTGGTTAGGTCCAATAATGGTATCAGCAGAATGAATATGTGGACAAAGCTGGCAACGGGGTTTGTTGCAAGGGAAGGTACCAGGGTTGGTATTAGAACCCGGGCGGTGGGACTGCGGCGCTTCTCGGTCCCGCTGCCCACGCAACTCTTCCTCGGGCTTCCTGTAGTCAGCCTCTGGTCAGTTTCAGCAGCGGCTGAATCTGGACGCCAGTTCTGACTTACATACAGATTCATCTTAAGAACAAACCTACAGTCCCTATCTTGTACATAACCCAGGGACTGCCTGTACTACAATGCACTTGGATCTTAAAAACTAAGCAGAGAGTACTTGGTTGAGAGACTTTCAAGGAATTCGCTTTGTGTGTGCTATTGGTGTACATTTTCTTTTGAGTCTGTGTTGAGTCAATGAACCCAGATGGTGCAAGGAATCCATGTAGAAGAGGATAAAAAGGAGCGCCACTTTTACTTTTTCTGTACAATTCATTATTTTGTATATTTCCATTGTCTCTTTTTTTCTATTAGGTCTTGTCTTAAGAAATAAACAGTTCCCATATTTCCAAGACATGTCAGATGTGGAGCACACATACAATGGGCTGAATATTGCAAACACACATTTAACTTCACATATGTCAGTAGCTCCATTCAAGTCAATTGTGTTTTCAAATATACAGAAAAATATACTTTTTGTATATGTAATTTTGTATGACAAGACATGCTTGAAGTCAATTGAACTGTTTGTGTATGTGTGTATATGCACATGCTTGAAATGAATGGAATTACATCTGTCTATGTGTGTGTAAAGTCTAGGATGTGAGTATTAGTAGGACTGGGGCCTATAACTCATTTTAAATAAATGGAGCTGCCCTTTCTTGAGCCCAGCCGGGGCACTGTTGCCGGGCGACCAAACGCTTTCCCAACTGGTAGAGAGCGGGGTCCCTCAGGTTGGGGTATTGGTTCGGGGTGGAGGACCCGGAGATAAATAAGGGCACGTGGGGGTCAGAGGAGGAGATAGAGGAGAGAAGAGGAGAAAGAAAACAAACAAGCAAAAAAAAAATCCCACATACACCAAAAGGACTTGGAGTGGAAAAGAGGCACAGAGGAGGAAGAGATGGGGGGAAGGAGCCTGCAGGGGGGAAGGGCATTGAGGACTGCAAACACCTTGAAGGAATCCCAGGAGGGCAAAGAGTCTGGTGAGAAGGGGGGAGGAAGCAGCCCAGGGCAGTGAGGGTGGGGAGAGGGTCACACAAATTCATTTAGCATTTTAGGGGGTCGTGGTATCGCAAAGTTTGAGAACCCCTGGGTTAATGCCTTCTTGTCATGTCTGATGCATTAGTCATCAAAATGTTAACAAATATGCTCAGCACAGGTATTTCTTCATTCATCAACAAAATGCAGACACCCATGGGGAACATAAGGAATGCTTCAAACCAGAAAAGGAAGAGGAAAATCAGATCTAATAAAAGCAGGAGGAGGTAATTACTAATGTTGGAAATTTAACAGGATACTGTAATAAGGTTAGCACATACTAATAATAGCTATCTCTTATATAGTGATCTCAGAGCACTTTACAAAAAGAGGTAAATATCATTATACCCATTTTACAGATAGAGACTGAGGCACACAGAGGGTGTATTCAGCAAATGTAGGTTCCCCTAGAGTTTTGTGTTCCATATGATTACATTCCACATACAGAAATGGCACCTTGTGAATAAATCAGTGTGTTTTCAACAAACCGGTGGCTATCATCTCAAATTATTTATATTTGCCCTTTGACATAATTACTATAAATATGACAGCAAAAAGATATTTCTAGTATGCATTAATTAAATGACTGCTTAGAAAGATAGCAGTCTCCTATTTTCATGGACGTGTAAAAGAAAGCAACACTCAATACAGGTTTTTGGACTTCTTTCATTGGCAGATATTTTTTTTAATACCAAAGGAAAAATTTTTGATCTGAGATCCTCCACTGTATCTCTCTGAATCAGTCATGACTGTAAGAGATAATCAAGAAATTAGAAAGTGCAGGCCACATTCTGAACTTGTGTAAACAAGAATAGCTTCTAATGGGATATGGGAAAAAATACCCTAGCTGGCTTTCCCTGCACTGAAACAACAAAATAAGTCATCTACACAAAGACTATACTAAAAGAGAACAAAGTTGTGCTAAAAAACAGCAAGCAAATGGTCTGCTGTTTTTTTTCTGTAACAGACTAATGCTAGTTATTCTGAAATAATGGTGCAGTGTAGACACACCGTTGGAGAGGCACAGTGTCACAACTGGCTCTGCCTGTCCCCATGGAATCAATGAGGCTTCCGGTGGGTGAAATCAGATAGGGTATGTCTACACTACCACCCTAGTTCGAACTAGGGTGGTAATGTAGGCAACCGGAGTTGCAAATGAAGCCCTGGGATTTGAATTTCCCGGGCTTCATTTGCATAAAGCCGGGCACCACCATTTTTAAATGTCCGCTAGTGCGGACTCTGTGCCACGCGGCTACACGCGGCACGGAGTAGGTAGTTCGGACTAGGCTTTGTGAAACGAGGAGTAACGGTAGTTCGGACTAGGAAGCCTAGTCCGAACTACCTAGTCCATGCCGCATGTAGCCGCGTGGCACAGAGTCCGCACTAGCGGACATTTAAAAATGGCGGCGCCCGGCTTTATGCAAATGAAGCCCGGGAAATTCAAATCCCGGGCTTCATTTGCAACTCTGGTTGCCTACATTACCACCCTAGTTCGAACTAGGGTGGTAGTGTAGACATACCCATAGCGACATCTGGGGGTTAGTTTGTTAGTTCCCTAGGGAAGGGACTGCATCTTGGTAATTTCGTCAAAAGTACCCAGAATTTTGGGAGCTCAGTGCTGACTTAAGCCATTGGGAGTCCCTATTAAGGGCCAGATCCGGAGCTGATGTCAAAAGAAACTCAATGGCAGTGAATAGCCTTGTAGGCAATGGAGCAATGCTGATCTACATTTTAAAAATGAACAACAGGATCTTTTTTATTTAAACAAATGCAGTACCATATTTAACTGGCTGTCTAAACAGCCTTATGGGGTATGTACATTACTATTATTATTCCACTTTTGCATGGACGAAACTGGAGGACAGTGAAACTCTCCCAAATTCGGAGTTGGAGACTCTGTTAGGGCATGTCTACACTCTGTAAAGATCGACCGTCCAGAGGTTGATCTTCTAACATGTGATTTAGCAGGTCTAGTGTGACCTCCAAATCAAATGTTGAGGGTAGCCCCACCAGAGTCCGGTAGTCCTCATTCTGTGAAAAGTAAGATCCTGTCAGCCTCCCACAGTGTAGATACTGTTGCGGCTCAGTTTAAGGTAAGCCAATTCCCTTGTGTACCTTAAGCTGACCTGCCTGTTCTAATGTATACCAGGCCTCTGAGAGTTCTTTATTTTCCACATCCATGCTCAAAGCAATATATTGAACTTCTTAATGGCTAAAATTATTGCAATCCTTTGTGTCAGTCAGAGCTTCAGAGAGTATTGTGCTGGTCTAATCCAAAGCAGGCCAGTAAACAAATAGGGAAGACTCCCAGGAATATCAGGATGCTTTGGATTGGATTGGCTTCAATGTTAGTGCAAAAATGCCATTGATTCCAGCATGGCATACAGATTATTATGAAATAAATCTCTCACCTGTGCTGCCATCACACATGCTGTTTTAGTTCCCTTTGCCCAAAATGTCATACGCCGTTCAGAATAGATTGTGAATCTAAGCATTTACTTCTAAATAAGCTTTACCAATGGCAGCTGTTACACTAACTACAGCCACTTTTAACAAGTAATATGTACTTGGCCTTTTTCTAGTAGCAATCTCTAATTATATGGCTTCCCACTTATTCCTTTTATTTTTCCTTCAGCTTTCCAGTGAGAGAAAGTAAGCAAGGGTCTTATACCATTATTTAGTAGTTAGCTCTAGCAGTAGCATATTCCCACCCAAGAACTGTCAGTGAGCTACAGTAGAGTAAATTTTGTTTATTTTGATTCTAAGGAGCCATTTAGATAATAACTCTGCTCTTAAGTGCTTATATAGCCCTAATTACCATTCAACAGCCCTCTGAGGAACCAAAAGAACTGTTATCCCCATTTTACAGATTGGGAACTGAGGCAAAGTACTAAAAGTTTTGACTAACATTACACACAAGGTTGATTGTAGATCAAGGTATTGAACTCATATCTTTCAAGTCTCAGGCTAGTCACCTAGGGTGAGTCTAGACTACAGGGTTTTGTCGACAAAAGTGGACGTTTGTCGACAAAACTATACCTGCGTCTACACTGCTGCTGAGTTCTGTCCACATAACATCGACAGAACTCAGCAGTTTTGTCAACGGCGGTAAACCTCATTCTACAAGGAATAACACCTTTTGTTGACAGAGTTCTGTCGACAGAAGACGTTATTGCGTCTACACTGTCCTTTGTGTCTACACTGTCATGTCAACAAAGCGGCTTGCTTTGTTGACAGAACTGGATGTAGTCTAGACGCTCTTTGTCGACAGAAGCTTTGTCGATAGTATCTGTTGACAAAACTTCTGATGACAAAAGCCTGTAGTCTAGACGAACCCCAAGTCAGTAGACTACCCTGTCTCTCTTGCAGAAAAGAAACAGTGGAGGATGAAGCAAAATCCAGTGCTGTCCATTATGCCTTTCACAAACAGCAGGACACATCAGCCCTTGTGTTCTTCCCCACATAGACAAAATGTAGGAAAAGTGTGCCTGTGGTCAGTACAGTGCTTGGAGCAGTGTGGGGATAGAGAATGGCCTCATTTTAGCCATTCTTCTCAGACAGAATCTCCTGAGAATTTTTCAGCCAAACTAATAATTCTTTACTTAACATGGGTGAACCCTTTTTTCCCCCAGCGAGACTTATAATTTAGTCAAATTTGGGTTCATTTTCACAGACACCAAAGAGCACATTCATGTCACCAGGGTAATTCACCCACGTGCAAAATTTCAAAAAACTTACTCTAAAGGATGGGGACCCCAGGGCTTTTCAGGGAAACTGCTGTAATAATTTTTAACACAGAGGAAAATATGTTATTTTGGCCTAACCTCATTCTTGGAAATAGCTGCATTATTTTAGCTAAAACTTCCCCAAACCATTCAGCCAGAAACAGACACTCTGCATGAGATATTTCAAGATGAATAGTTCAGGTTTGGCAAACCTTTAAGCAACTAAACAGGGTCTTATAAAAGAAAATGTTGCCCTAAGGGTAGGTGTTGCTACTTGCAAAGCCTATAATAAGTAACAGTAAAAATAGATGCACAAATACTGCTGAAGTGAATGTGTTTAAAAGTTTGAAAGAACATTGGCAATATCTGCCTAGCTCTGGGAATTTAGTCTTGTTTTTTTATTCCACTGACACATATGCAATTGTAACTCTGTTTCCTACCTCTGTGTTAATCTTGCACTGAGTTACAAAAGCAAAAGCCCAAAATATTCAAAATGACCTCTCAATTTTCCAGTCCCACTGTGCTTGATGCAGAACCAGAAAGTGGAGCAGAACCAGAGGTGGCTTTATACCATCTTCCATCCCCCCCAATATTTAGGCTAGTGTAAAGTACAGCAGCCAGAAAACTTCTGTAAATTCATACTTCACTGCCTCTAGGTCTGTTGTGGAAGCTGGGGATTTCAAGGGTTAAGGATGCTCCAGCTACACCAATTTTCCTGTGAATGCAACTTTCCAACCGTGGCCTGGTGGGGGCTCCACACACTCAGTGATCCACCATGTGCACTACTGAAGCTGTGCAACGCAGCTGGAGCAGACCCAAGAATGAAAAACTCTTGGCATAAACAACGTAAATGCCAATAAATGACATAAGGCTGCTGGGTAGAGTTAATGACAAATTATTTGCTGAACATCTTAAAGCATCTTCTCAGAGGTCGATAAGTAACATTTGTGCTCCACACAGGTTTTCATAAACAACTAGTAGATATTGCTGAGCCAGAAAGTCAAAGCCGTTGCCTTCTATTATACAGCATTTCCTTTTATTCATCCTCCCACATGTTATGGGCCATGGACCAGTGTTCCAAGGGGAAGTGTTGGAAACACGATCACACGACAAATATGTAACTGGATGGGACAAAGCACTCAATAACACACTACAGTCTGTTAACAATCCTGCAGTGGCCCCAAAAGGATAACTGACTGAAATTGGCCTTTGAAGATTTTGATTTCTCTGATTTTCTGATCTTGAGAAAGGCAACAGTCTTAGCCTTGATCTACACTAGGGAGTTATTTCAAAATAACTCTTCTTATCTCAAAATAACAAGAAGAGTGTCCACACTACTGAGCCTGTTATGTTGAAGTAATGGGCTGGTTATTTTGAAATAATAACTCCTGCTTTCCATGCAGAATAACCCTTATTTTGAAATAGTTACTGTCATCAGTCTGGGTTTCAGGGTTGTCTCAATGGGTTCCTTACAGGTCATTTACTCCATCGATGGTAATAAACTTTCAGCCACATGCGTGCATGCTCCCCTGTCTAACACGTTAAACCTGTGCACTTGAGTCAACACAACTGACTCTCAGAGAGCCCCAAGAGACCACAAATCAAATAAGGATTAAAATCACCAGAGCAGGTTTATTGCCAAATTACATACACAAATAGTTGTCAGCAGATAGACTCGCCACTGTGCCACTACATCTGATGTAAGCCGTGACAATGTGCTTATGTAACCCACACACTTGGGCTATGTCTACACTGGAGCGATCTTGCGCCAGAAGTATGCAAATGAGGCTAAGCATAGAATATCGCTGAGCCTCATTTGCGTATCTAATGAGCCGCCATTTTGCAGAAGAGGCTCTTGCACCAGAAGGAGCTGTCTACACTGCCCCTTCTTGCGCAAGAACAACCCTCTTGCGCAATGCCGCCACGCTGGTTATTTTCCGGAATAATGGCATTGCGCAAGAGGGTTGTTCTTGCGCAAGAAGGGGCAGTGTAGACAGCTCCTTCTGGTGCAAGAGCCTCTTCTGCAAAATGGCGGCTCATTAGATACGCAAATGAGGCTCAGCGATATTCTATGCTTAGCCTCATTTGCATACTTCTGGCGCAAGATCGCTCCAGTGTAGACATAGCCCAAGTGTGTGGGTTACATAAGCACATTGTCACGGCTTACATCAGATGTAGTGGCACAGTGGCGAGTCTATCTGCTGACAACTATTTGTGTATGTAATTTGGCAATAAACCTGCTCTGGTGATTTTAATCCTTATTTGATTTGTGGTCTCTTGGGGCTCTCTGAGAGTCAGTTGTGTTGACTCAAGTGCACAGGTTTAACGTGTTAGACATCCTAGGTTCAAATCTACCCCGTGGTGGTTACACTAGCACCCATTAACACCATTATGCCCCCCCATAGTCTGCCGGAGATCACCCTTTGCAGTGCCCTTTTATAGACACATACGAACAAATTACATCACTTCTGATGTACCAGATTGCCACCTTCTGTTACCTAGTTACTACCCGTTACCTCAAAGAACTGGGGCTTACTTACTATCCTCCATGCTGTTAACTTCGACCTGGTCCTGAACCTCAGTCAGTAGGTACATTAGATTTTGGGGAGTCGGTTGGTACCAAGAGGTTTCTTATTGAGATTTTCTGCTACTCCCCTCTGACTTACAGCCTGTACTTGATCTAGTGCCTCCGTATGTTCTTCTATGCTTGACCAAACTTATATAATCATATAATTATCAATAGGGCCTCTTTCCTGGCTGCTGTGTTACTGAACCAACGTCTTGCTTATTGGATTCCAGGCCAGTTGCTGTTTTTATATTTCAGGCCTTTATTCAGGCCTGCTGACTCCATGTTACCAACCCTCTACTTACTACAGTTATTTTGGGAGTTATTATTTTGAAGTAAGTTATTTCAAAATAATTTCCTAGTATAGACATGCCCTTAGTGAGAGAGAAAATCCTTGCATGGGTGGAGTAACTTTAGCATGTTGTAAGCCCATCACTAACTCCACATGGTAGGCCTACCTGATCGAGGCCTGGGTACCAAAACCCAGCACAGCTTATTGTGATTTCCTGCCTGTCAGACTGACTCTATGATGATGGATGTATAGCACCTTTTGGGGAGTGAGCCACATAAGCAAAAATTCCTTCCAGGGAAGCCTATACTGTGCAGAGATGCAAAACCTCACTGGAAATGTTATACCAGCTGTTTAATTCAGAAGTCAAGGGGACGCTTCACATTAGCTGTTTGATACTCCCTGGGCGGTAGGTGAATTGTTGACAAGGGAGGTCAGGGAACCCTTCCAGAAGAGCTCCTCACCCCATCCATCAAGCAGGCTTGTGTTGATTCCCATCTATCACCTGTGCAATATCACAGAAGTTACTGTATACCTACAACTGCTCTAGCCAGCAAACACACAGGCACATATAACAAGGGAACACAATGGATGGGATGGGCTGTTGTCCCTTAACCTGTTTCATTGCTTGTGCCATGTGTGTGGGGAGTGATCTTTGATTTTGTTGGGCCTGCCCTTTTTCCTTGGTTGGCTGTTCTCTTTGGGAGACAGCTTAGTAGGCTGCATAGCCCACTTTTCATAGGAGACAGAGCTCCGCTCCATGCTGGCTGCTGCTGAGTTGTGCCCAAGGGTTCCACTTCTTCTCCTTGAATGTAGAGTAGCTATTGACTGTGGTCCACTGACATTAGCAGTGTCAAGATTTAGCACAAAGTACAATTGAACTTTGATATGTGTAGACATATGTTTCTATCTTGTCACATACTCGCAATCATTTTCTCTAGTATAAAAATTCAGCTATATCTTATCATAAGAAACAAAGCTCACAAACTTTCAGAGGGGTAGCTGTGTTAGTCTGTAACATAAAAAACACCCAACACCTTAAAAATCAAATGGTCCTGTAATACCTTAGAAACAAGCTCACAAAGTTACCCACATTTCTAGTTACAGGTTTGTTCACTCAGAGTGGCCAAGAGCAAGTAATTGCTCATGTTAAAAACAGCCGCATGTTTCTTTTAATCAGTATGGTGATTTTCAACTGATGCTATGCTCAACTTCCCAAGCATAGAGAATCTGGGACAGGCCCAGAGCCATTGTTAGTTGAGATACATGAATAATTTTGTAAGGAATCATGAAAGGGATTCAAAGTGAAGTGAGAGAATTAATTCACAAATTATAGTTAATGCACTGTAAGATTATGAGATGTTCAAATAGAATAAAAAAAAGCTGTAAATACTGCATGCAGAGCCACCTCATAATAAAGAATTGACACACTAAACAGAGACTGGTTTGATGGGGAAGAAATACATCCTTGCCACTTGTCACATAGTATTCCCAGATGAAGTACATAAATAAACATGCCATTCACACATAGCACTTCTTCCTACAAAGCTGTCAGGGAAGTGAGGTGTAAGAATAATACTGGAGACCCAGGTGGCACAGGAAAAACCTAGGCTGTGTCTTGTTTCTTCTGGTAGAGAAAAGGGAAAAGGATGTATTAGGCCACACAGAGCTATTATCAGTTCTATGACTCCACTGGGCCTGGATTCACCACTCCATCCGTGCACAGCATGGAGAAGGGAGATGAAAGAGAGCTGGTTCCTTAGATAAGGAAGCTTGGTCCTCGGGGAGGTTATGTCAGGAATCTGGGCTTGCAGCAGCATTAGTGTTGATGCAACCTCATCAGTATGTCTGCAACAGGTTTCCTGATTGACCACATGATTGGCATAAAGGGGCAGCAGGCTGGCTCTGTGACTTCTCCTGTGTTACCTGGTTCCTACTGTTTCTGCCTTGCACCTAGCCTTGATGTAGTCGTACTCCTGTTTGGAACCCCTCATTGCCCTCATTCTGCTTGCTCCAGCTCCTGAGCACCAGGCCATCAGCTCTGTTATCAGCTTCTGATTTAGGGTTGCCAACTCTTCTGATTTCATCAGGAGTCACCTGGAATCAGGCTTATTCTCCTAGAGGCTACTGCAGCCAGTCCCGGAGATTTTAAACTGCTAAAAGTCCTTGCCTGCTCTGGTCCCACACCACTCCTGGAAGCAGCCAACATGCCCCTGCAGCTCTGAGGCAGGAGAGCACTCAAGAGGTGTCAGCACACTGCTTCCTCCCAAGCACTGATTCTACTGATCCCATTGGCGAGGAACTGCATCTAATGGAAGCTGCAGGGGTGGCATCTGCCACGTGTCGAACCCTGTTGCCCTCCCATGGACCGTACGGACATGCCAGCTGCTTCTGAGAGTGTCACGGAGCCAGGTCAGACAGGATGCTTGCCTTAGCCCTGCTGCGCTGTCAGCCATGACCTGCCTGAGTTAACACTGTGTGGCTGCAGCCTGCACTCTGAACCAGCACCCCATATACTCTCCCATGCTCCAAACCCTTTTCCACACTCCAACCCCCTAACTCAGCTTTGAATCCCCTTCTGCACCTATTCTTTCCCAGAGCCTGCATTCCACACCTCCTCCAGGACCTCAACCCCCTGCCCCAGGCTCAGCGCAGAGCCCCATCCCAGTCTGAATCCCTCTGTGAAAACTATGCTCCATTTTTAGCCTGCTAGCTCAGAGCCAGCACAGATATGTCATCTGGAGCTGGTATTTACACCTTCAGCATGTATTGCAGACATACCTGGAGAGGCACATCACAGAATTTCACCCTTTATCTACATGGGCAGTTCTGCATGTTCTGTTCTCATTTGAGGAACGGAACTTCCACTGCCCTGTAGATCTACATTGCAGGTCTCTTCTCTGTGGCCTGGACTCCCTTCCATCAATCTATTCATAGTTTCATGTGCACATGCTAAGGTAATGTAGCATATTCAGTGGAAATCTGAAGTGTTCTGAAAGTGATAAATATAAAA